TATGGCAACAGCACTGCCCTCGATCGCATGGCACTACAGAGGGTTGTGTGGACAGCCCAGTACGTCACTGGGGCCGAGCTCCCTGCCATCCAGGACCTCTATACCAGGACAGCCCAGTACGTCACTGGGGCAGAGCTCCCTGCCATCCAGGACCTCTATACCAGGACAGCCCAGCACGTCACTGGGGCCGAGCTCCCTGCCATCCAGGACCTCTATACCAGGACAGCCCAGCACGTCACTGGGGCAGAGCTCCCTGCCATCCAGGACCTCTATATCAGGACAGCCCAGCACGTCACTGGGGCCGAGCTCCCTGCCATCCAGGACCTCTATACCAGGACAGCCCAGTACATCACTGGGGCCGAGCTCCCTGCCATACAGGACCTCTATACCAGGACAGCCCAGTACGTCACTGGGGCCGAGCTCCCTGCCATCCAGGACCTCTATACCAGGACAGCCCAGTACATCACTGGGGCCGAGCTCCCTGCCATACAGGACCTCTATACCAGGACAGCCCAGTACGTCACTGGGGCCGAGCTCCCTGCCATCCAGGACCTCTATACCAGGACAGCCCAGTACGTCACTGGGGCCGAGCTCCCTGCCATCCAGGACCTCTATACCAGGACAGCCCAGTACATCACTGGGGCCGAGCTCCCTGCCATCCAGGACCTCTATACCAGGACAGCCCAGTACGTCACTGGGGCCGAGCTCCCTGCCATCCAGGACCTCTATACCAGGACAGCCCAGTACATCACTGGGGCCGAGCTCCCTGCCATCCAGGACCTCTATATCAGAGCTCCCTGCCATCCAGGACCTCTATACCAGGACAGCCCAGCACGTCACTGGGGCCGAGCTCCCTGCCATCCAGGACCTCTACATCAGAGCTCCCTGCCATCCAGGACCTCTATATCAGGTGGTGTGAAAAAGAAGGCCCGGAAAATCGTCAAAGACTCCAACCACCCAAGCCATAGACTATTCTCTCTGCTGCAGCACGGCAAGAGATACCAGAGCATCAAGTCTGACACCAACAGGCTCCTGAACAGCTTCTATCCCCAAGCAATACAACTGATAAATAGCTAACAGAATGGCTACACGGACCGAGTTCACCTTGTGTCTTTATTGACCTTTTATTTCAATCTTTGCATTGTCTCTATGCACACTCACAGGGCCCTACACACTACACACATTCAACACTCCAACACACATACGAACACTCACTGCATCATCTGATCACTCACACATAATGTGCCCATACCAGGCGTCAGGGCACTAGACAGCTATCTGGTACTCCCTCATCCCATTTCTTACTGATTTGGTTGACGCAGCTGGGCCACTGCCTGCATTGCCTCTCCTCCATGGAGCTGTGCTTGTGACATACCAGTTACGTAGCGGTCCTCCTTCCCAGGATTATTTCACCTTTATTTAACCAGATAAGAAGCCAGTTGAGAACAAGTTCTCATTTACAACTGCGACCTGGCCAAGATAAAGCAAAGCAGTGCGATAAAAACAACAACACAGAGTTACATATGGGGTAAAACAAAACATAAAGTCAAAAATACAATAGAAAATCTATATACAGTGTGTGTATATGTAGTAAGTTATGGAGGTAAGGCAATAAATAGGCTATAGTGCAAAATAATTACATTTAGTATTAACACTGGAATGATACATGTGCAAGAGATGATGTGCAAATAGAGATACTGGGGTGCAAATGAGCAAAATAAATAACAATATAGGGATGAGGTAGTTGGGTGGGCTAATTTCAGATGGGATGTGTACAGGTGCAGTGATCGGTAAGGTGCTCTGACAACTGATGCTTAAAGTTAGTGAGGGAGATAAGAGTCTCCAGCTTCAGAGATTTTTGCAGTTCGTTCCAGTCATTGGCAGCAGAGAACTGGAAGGAATGGCGGCCAAAGGAGGTGTTGGCTTTGGGGATGACCAGAGAGCTACGTAGCAGTCCTACTTCCCAGGATTAGGAATACTGAGCTCAGTGCCTATGACATACCAGTTACGTAGCAGTCAGGATTAGAGTACTGAGCTCAGTGGTTCCCCTTTTTGGTCCAGCTATATCGCCTGATGGAGGACCTCATCACAGCGGCTCCTAGACACTGAAAAGCGTTGAGATATAATCGTCCTCCATCTTTTGCTTTACTTCTACCCATGGTGTCACTAAGCGTGTGGGTGGACTGTGTCCTACCAGCCGCTATTCGCACCAGCAGTCTGCCCACTATTTCAAGTTAATGTACCTAAACCCATCTTTGGCCCTGGTCAATTTTTTCCCATTGTCGCACATTGGAGCCTATGGCTTTTTGCCTGTTGCCTTCCCCAGAAGGGAGTCCCAGTCGTTGTCCGGTACACATCTACTTCGACTGTAGGAGAGTCATAGTCATTGTCCGGTGCCCCTGTTGGGCCCTGGGACATAACTCATTAAATCTGAGATTGGAGCCACGTATTGGGTTTCCCATCACTTTATTAAGAGGTTTTCCCCTCAATGGGATGTTTCTGGACCTTCTTGGTGTTGTTTTCTCCTTGCTGTTTAACCTATGGGCAAGAGTGAGCCCAGAGGTTAAACAGCAAGCATGAGGAATGTGCCTTATTGTGCCGTGCTCATAGGCTATAAGGTAAATAATCATTCCCCACGTAGCTAATGAAAAAGAGGAGAGATCTGATGATGATCAGTACAGTACATTCCCACTATGCACATAAAATAGGAAACTATGTGAATTATATTGCTAAATATTATTATTAAGTTAAAGCATTCAGACCAGCCTTACTGATTTTACCTTCGTAAACGACATTTTCAGAGCCTCTGAGCATTGCTGATGTTGGAGCTAGCATGTCTTTGCGATATGGGAGTTGTCCGTAACCGTAATATCTCAGAAGAACCGGGGTCACGTGAGTAACCTTAAGTTATGCTGAGCGAAAATAGTCTTTCAAATTCTTGAGGTTCTGCAAAGACACAACAACATCAGTTGAAATGCAGTGAAAGGTATTCAGCTGTAACTAATTGAGATAATATAATAATAATAATAATAATAATAATAATAATATGCCATTTAGCAGACGCTTTTATCCAAAGCGACTTACAGTCATGTGTGCATAAATTTTTACGTATGGGTGGTCCCGGGGATCGAACCCACTACCCTGGGCGTTACAAGCGCCGTGCTCTACCAATTGAGCTACAGAGGACCACAATAGTTCATGAGAGAGTCCTGCTTTGGGAATGAGTCCGTCGGGAATTGGAACTATTCTCTGGCTTGGAGTGTATCACCCCTTTTTTCATTCCATTCAGATGATAACAAAAAGCATTCCATGTGAAAACGGTCAAAAGGCAAAATCAGGTGTACCTCGAAAAGGGACTATTATTAGTTATAATAGTTAATAAGAATAAAACTAAATCGGAATTGAAGTTGTAGGAAATTCTTACAGCAATATGTAGCTGTTCAGAAGAAACATGGCAATGTAACGCAACGCATGAGAGGTGTGCTGAAGAAAAGGGTGATTCCAAACACAAACATACAATTAGAGCTGAACCACTCCTCCGCATGCTGACAGAGTCACTATCCTGTTCTGGCTTTATCCCATCTCTATGAGGGACCTCTCAGTCTCTGGCTGAATTAGAGCTGAACCACTCCTCCGCATGCTGACAGAGCTACTCTGCTCTGCTGGGAATCACTATCCTGTTCTGGCTTTATCCCATCTCTATGAGGGACCTCTCTGGCTGAATTAGAGCTGAACCACTCCTCCGCATGCTGACAGAGAGCTACTCTGCTCTGCTGGGAATCACTATCCTGTTCTGGCTTTATCCCATCTCTATGAGGGACCTCTCAGTCTCTGGCTGAATTAGAGCTGAACCACTCCTCCGCATGCTGACAGAGCTACTCTGCTCTGCTGGGAATCACTATCCTGTTCTGGCTTTATCCCATCTCTATGAGGGACCTCTCAGTCTCTGGCTGAATTAGAGCTGAACCACTCCTCCGCATGCTGACAGAGCTACTCTGCTCTGCTGGGAATCACTATCCTGTTCTGGCTTTATCCCATCTCTATGAGGGACCTCTCAGTCTCTGGCTGACTCCCAAAAAAGCACCATATTCCCTATTTAGCGGATTACTTTTGACCAGAGCCCGTAGGGATTGGAGATAGGGCTCTGGTCAGCCAGAGACTGAGAGGTGTCTGCCACGCTCAGCTCTGTGTTGGCCTGGCCACGCTCAGCTCTGTGTCTGCCACGCTCAGCTCTGTGTTGGCCTGGCCACGCTCAGCTCTGTGTCTGCCACGCTCAGCTCTGTGTTGGCCTGGCCACGCTCAGCTCTGTGTCTGCCACGCTCAGCTCTGTGTTGGCCTGGCCATGCTCAGCTCTGTGTCTGCCACGCTCAGCTCTGTGTCTGCCACGCTCAGCTCTGTGTTGGCCTGGCCATGCTCAGCTCTGTGTCTGCCACGCTCAGCTCTGTGTTGGCCTGGCCACGCTCAGCTCTGTGTTGGCCTGGCCACGCTCAGCTCTGTGTCTGCCACGCTCAGGTCTGTGTCTGCCACGCTCAGCTCTGTGTCTGCCACGCTCAGCTCTGTGTTGGCCTGGCCATGCTCAGCTGATCACAGCTTTATTAGGCTGTTCTATCAGCTGTTTAGGGTAGGATATAGCCTTTCTCATGACTGTTTCTGACACATTCCTTCATGTTATTCTACCCTGCACCTTTTCTCTCCTCCTCCCCCTGTTCCCCACCCAGGTAGAGGTGAAACAGAGCGAGAGAGAGAGAGAGAGAGAGGAGAGAGAGAGAGAGAGAGAGAGAGAGAGAGAGAGAGAGAGAGAGAGAGAGAGAGAGAGAGAGAGAGAGAGAGAGAGAGAGAGAGAGAGAGAGAGAGAGAGAGAGAGAGAGAGAGAGAGAGAGAGAGAGAGAGAGAGAGAGAGAGAGAGAGAGAGAGGAGACCTCTGAGGGAGGCAGGTGCTGCGTTAAATTGCTGCCCTGCAGCTACGGGGGAAAATCCTACCAGAAGAAAAGGAATTTCAAATGAAACATGAAACCCTCCACAAACAACCAGTCCCCCAGGGTCCTCAACAGAATGGCATTCTAACAACTCATGAAAGCGAGAGAGACACCTCTGGAGAAGGGAGGTGATTTGGGGGACGGAGGGGGAGGGTATTTGCCTTGTCCATCGTGGTCTTTCATCAACAGAGGCTGGGATCCAACTAGGTAATAATCGGGCTGGGCGGCAGGCTGGGCGGCAGGCATGGTGATTGGCACCCTGCCACGCCCAGCCCCACACCGTACCACGCCCCTCCCTTGGTGAAGGGAAGGTGGGTGGAGGTGGAGCGGAAGGTGGGGGCGCGGTATTAATCACTAGATCAAGAGAGGTATTAATCACTAGAGAGAGAGAGAGAGAGAGAGCAGAACAGCCCCCCTGAGGGCAGCATAGTGGAGTTGGAAGGGTATTACTCAGTTGCACACACTGCTCTGCTGCCGGACAACAGCATTCCTCCACGGGGAGGGGAACAGAGGAGCATCCACCTCATCTACAATAACATATGACATTTAAAAAAAAAATATATCCAGTCATGCCATCTAAGTAATCTAACTGGTGTAACATTATGGCAACACCCCTTGAATATGGCCGGTGTCAGTAAACGTCGGCAAAAAAAAACGTTATTAAATTGTTGCCAGCAGCACAGTTGCAGTCACCAACGCTCTGGATAACATGAAAACACCCTAACCAGCTCTGCTAGGGCGAGTAAAATGGTCAGAGTGAGATGTTCTCTCATTTGTGTCTGGAAGTAGCTAGCCAACGTTAGCCAGTTAGCTTGGGTGCTTGACTGTTGTTAGGACAGGACGCTCGGATCAACCCTACTCCTCCGCCAGTGCGTCCAGTGTGCGCTCTGAACGCTCCGAGAGCGAAACGCTCTAAATTTACGAACAGACAATCTGACAACGCTCTGAGTTTACGAACGCCCAGAGCGCACTCTGGCACTCCAGATTAAATTCATGAACACACCCGTAGTATAAATCTTTGGTTGTTTAGTACATGGCCTCACATGTATTTCTTTAAAGAGATGGGTGGGGCTAAAGCTTAATAGGGTGTGAACGATGCTGAATGGGTGTAGACAAAGAAGAGCTCTCCAGTAGGTGTGCCAAAACATTCAAGGGCCATTTTCTCAAAAGTAGGTTTAGAAGTTTATGAACTTTCAAAGCAGAATTACTTTTTTACCATTTTCTAGCTCTGAGTCTCTGCTTTTATCCAATGTAAAAAACACAATTTCAAATGTTGCTCCATATGACCGAATCGAGCCGGTCGGTCACATATCACCATCAGTGACTGTGTGGTGTACAATAGTGGTAGGAGCGGGTTTTACTTTACAGATGAAAACTGGTGATTCGGTGGAGGTAGAATGCCCTACCATTAATAGAAATGGAATCTACAATATATGATATGTTATAAATCCGAGAAAGAAAAAAGCTTCATGCACTTGCATTACAAAAGGTAGACATCTTGAACGCTGCATGAATTCATGCTGTTCCCATCTTCAAACTGCATCGATGACTGTCTGTCATTGGACTCCTAATGTACTGACATTCTGATCTACGATTTAAATATCCAAACACCCCACCAATCCCAAGCCAATATCCAAACGCCCCACCAATCCCAAGCCAATATCCAAACGCCCCACCAATCCCAAGCCAATATCCAAACGCCCCACCAATCCCAAGCCAATATCCAAACGCCCCACCAATCCCAAGCCAATATCCAAACGCCCCACCAATCCCAAGCCTAATCAGAACTCTAACCGGCTCGTTGCTCGCTACCCCTCCAGACGTCTTCCTGTGGGACTTACCCCCCAGTTAGGTCTATTCATCTTCACTAGTCTTGTCAAACAAATATTTTGAATTTTACATTTGTGACATTTTCCAGTCGGCTACTCATAGTATTGTAATATTATAATGTTGTGTACGTATTTAGCCATGTCCCAGTACAGGACTCACAGGTAGAGGCTGGTCAGAGAGAGGGTGGTCAGGTAGAGGCTGGTCAGGTAGAGGCTGGTCAGAGAGGGTGGTCAGGTAGAGGCTAGTCAGGTAGAGGCTAGTCAGGTAGAGGCTGGTCAGGTAGAGGGTGGTCAGGTAGAGGCTGGTCAGGTAGAGGCTGGTCAGAGAGAGTGGTCAGGTAGAGGCTGGTCAGGTAGAGGGTGGTCAGGTAGAGGCTGGTCAGGTAGAGGGTGGTCAGGTAGAGGCTGGTCAGGTAGAGGCTGGTCAGAGAGAGTGGTCAGGTAGAGGCTGGTCAGGTAGAGGGTGGTCAGGTAGAGGCTGGTCAGGTAGAGGGTGGTCAGGTAGAGGCTAGTCAGGTAGAGGCTGGTCAGGTAGAGGCTGGTCAGGTAGAGGGTGGTCAGGTAGAGGGTGGTCAGGTAGAGGGTGGTCAGGTAGAGGGTGGTCAGGTAGAGGCTGGTCAGGTAGAGGGTGGTCAGGTAGAGGGTGGTCAGATAGAGGCTGGTCAGGTAGAGGCTGGTCAGGTAGAGGCTGGTCAGGTAGAGGGTGGTCAGGTAGAGGCTGGTCAGGTAGAGGCTGGTCAGGTAGAGGCTGGTCAGGTAGAGGCTGATCAGGTAGAGGCTGATCAGGTAGAGGGTGGTCAGGTAGAGGCTGGTCAGGTAGAGGCTGATCAGGTAGAGGCTGGTCAGACCAGAGGGTGGTCAGGTAGAGGCTGGTCAGGTAGAGGCTGGTCAGGTGGAGGCTAGTCAGGTAGAGGCTGGTCAGGTAGAGGCTGGTCAGGTAGAGGCTGGTCAGGTTTGTGACATTTTCCAGTCGGCTACTCATAGTATTGTAATATTATAATGTTGTGTACGTATTTAGCCATGTCCCAGTACAGGACTCACAGGTAGAGGCTGGTCAGGTAGAGGCTGGTCAGAGAGAGTGGTCAGGTAGAGGGTGGTCAGATAGAGGCTGGTCAGAGAGGGTGGTCAGGTGGAGGCTGGTCAGGTAGAGGGTGGTCAGATAGAGGCTGGTCAGGTAGAGGGTGGTCAGGTAGAGTCAGGTAGAGGCTGGTCAGGTAGAGGGTGGTCAGGTAGAGGCTGGTCAGGTAGAGGCTGGTCAGATAGAGGGTGGTCAGGTAGAGGCTGGTCAGGTAGAGGCTAGTCAGACCAGAGGCTGGTCAGGTAGAGGCTGGTCAGGTAGAGGCTGGTCAGGTAGAGGGTGGTCAGGTAGAGGCTAGTCAGGTAGAGGGTGGTCAGGTAGAGGCTGGTCAGGTAGAGGCTGGTCAGGTAGAGGGTGGTCAGGTAGAGGCTAGTCAGGTAGTGGCTGGTCAGGCAGAGGGTGGTCAGGTAGAGGCTGGTCAGGTAGAGGGTGGTCAGGTAGAGGGTGGTCAGGTAGAGGCTGGTCAGATAGAGGCTGGTCAGGTAGAGGCTGGTCAGGTAGAGGCTGGTCAGGTAGAGGGTGGTCAGGTAGAGGCTGGTCAGGTAGAGGCTGGTCAGGTAGAGGGTGGTCAGGTAGAGGGTGGTCAGGTAGAGGCTGGTCAGGTAGAGGGTGGTCAGGTAGAGGCTGGTCAGGTAGAGGCTGGTCAGGTAGAGGCTGGTCAGGTAGAGGCTGGTCAGGTAGAGGGTGGTCAGGTAGAGGCTGGTCAGGTAGAGGCTGATCAGGTAGAGGCTGATCAGGTAGAGGCTGGTCAGGTAGAGGGTGGTCAGGTAGAGGCTGGTCAGGTAGAGGCTGATCAGGTAGAGGCTGGTCAGACCAGAGGGTGGTCAGGTAGAGGCTGGTCAGGTAGAGGCTGGTCAGGTGGAGGCTAGTCAGGTAGAGGCTGGTCAGATAGAGGCTGGTCAGGTAGAGGCTGGTCAGGTAGAGGGTGGTCAGGTAGAGGCTAGTCAGGTAGAGGCTGGTCAGGTAGAGGCTGGTCAGAGAGAGTGGTCAGGTAGAGGGTGGTCAGATAGAGGCTGGTCAGAGAGGGTGGTCAGATAGAGGCTGGTCAGGTAGAGGCTGGTCAGGTTTGTGACATTTTCCAGTCGGCTACTCATAGTATTGTAATATTATAATGTTGTGTACGTATTTAGCCATGTCCCAGTACAGGACTCACAGGTAGAGGCTGGTCAGGTAGAGGCTAGTCAGGTGGAGGCTGGTCAGGTAGAGGCTGGTCAGGCAGAGGCTGGTCAGATAGAGGCTAGTCAGGTAGAGGCTGGTCAGAGAGAGTGGTCAGGTGGAGGCTGGTCAGGTAGAGGGTGGTCAGATAGAGGCTGGTCAGGTAGAGGGTGGTCAGGTAGAGTCAGGTAGAGGCTGGTCAGGTAGAGGGTGGTCAGGTAGAGTCAGGTAGAGGCTGGTCAGGTAGAGGGTGGTCAGGTAGAGGGTGGTCAGATAGAGGCTGGTCAGAGAGGGTGGTCAGGTGGAGGCGGTCAGGTAGAGGGGTGGTCAGATAGAGGCTGGTCAGGTAGAGGGTGGTTCAGGTAGAGTCAGGTAGAGGCTGGTCAGGTAGAGGGTGGTCAGGTAGAGGGTGGTCAGGTAGAGGGTGGTCAGGTAGAGGGTGGTCAGGTAGAGTCAGGTAGAGGGCTGGTCAGGCGGGTAGGTAGAGGCTGGTCAGGTAGAGGCTGGTCAGGTAGAGGGTGGTCAGGTAGGAGGGTGGTCAGGTAGAGGGTGGTCAGGTAGAGGGTGGTCAGGTAGAGGGGCTGGTCAGGTAGAGGGTGGTAGGTAGAGGTGGTCAGGTAGAGGCTGGTCAGGTAGAGGCTGGTCAGATAGAGGCTGGTCAGGTAGAGGCTGGTCAGGTAGGGGCTGGTCAGGTAGAGGGTGGTCAGGTAGAGGCTGGTCAGGTAGAGGCTGGTCAGGTAGAGGCTGATCAGGTAGAGGCTGATCAGGTAGAGGCTGGTCAGGTAGAGGGTGGTCAGGTAGAGGCTGGTCAGGTAGAGGCTGATCAGGTAGAGGCTGGTCAGACCAAGGGTGGTCGGGTAGAGGCTGGTCAGGTAGAGGCTGGTCAGGTGGAGGCTAGTCAGGTAGAGGCTGGTCAGATAGAGGCTGGTCAGGTAGAGGCTGGTCAGGTAGAGGGTGGTCAGGTAGAGGGTGGTCAGGTAGAGGCTAGTCAGGTAGAGGCTGGTCAGGTAGAGGCTGGTCAGACCAGAGGCTGGTCAGGTAGAGGGTGGTCAGGTAGAGGGTGGTCAGGTAGAGGCTGGTCAGGTAGAGGCTGGTCAGGTAGAGGCTGGTCAGATAGAGGGTGGTCAGGTAGAGGCTGGTCAGGTAGAGGCTAGTCAGACCAGAGGCTGGTCAGGTAGAGGCTGGTCAGGTAGAGGCTGGTCAGGTAGAGGGTGGTCAGGTAGAGGCTGGTCAGGTAGAGGCTGGTCAGGTAGAGGCTGGTCAGGTAGAGGCTAGTCAGGTAGAGGCTGGTCAGGTAGAGGGTGGTCAGGCAGAGGCTGGTCAGAGAGAGGCTGGTCAGGTAGAGGCTGGTCAGGTAGAGTCTGGTCAGGTAGAGGGGGGTCAGATAGAGGCTGGTCAGGTAGAGGCTGGTCAGGTAGAGGGTGGTCAGGTAGAGGGTGGTCAGGTAGAGGCTGGTCAGATAGAGGCTGGTCAGGTAGAGGCTGGTCAGGTAGAGGCTGGTCAGGTAGAGGCTGGTCAGGTAGAGGCTGGTCAGGTAGAGGGGGGTCAGGTAGAGGGTGGTCAGGTAGAGGCTGGTCAGGTAGAGGCTGGTCAGGTAGAGGCTGGTCAGATAGAGGCTGGTCAGGTAGAGGGTGGTCAGGTAGAGGTGGTCAGGTAGAGGCTGGTCAGGTAGAGGTGGTCAGTAGAGGCTGGTCAGGTAGAGGCTGGTCAGGTAGAGGCTGGTCAGATAGAGGCTGGTCAGGTAGAGGCTGGTCAGGCAGAGGGATGGTGATTGTACAGGTAGTAGAGTCCATGCTGATCTGAATATTGTACAGTATGTGGTTGCTTTACTGTTTTGTAGGTGTACTGAACATGAACTTACGACAGTGATCCTGGCCCTCATGCATGGGTATGCAGTCCATGCTGATCTGGATGTGTTGCCTGCTGGTCCATCTCTGTCTGTTGGGCTGTCGGGGACGTTCGCTGTATGGGGTGCAAAGAGTGGAACGCTGACCTGAAAAACAAGCGCTACGATTACTGGTTTTAACTGGTTTGTGGGGGTGTGTTGGTGTGTTGTGTGTGGTTTGGTGGTGGGGGGTGGTGTGGTGTGTGTTGGTGTTGGTTTGTGGTGTGTGGTGGTGTTGGGGTGGTTTTGGTGTTGGTGGTGTTGGTTGGGGGGTGTGTGTGTGTGGGGGTGTGTGTGTGTTGTTGTGTTGGTGTGTGGTGTGTGGTTGTGGTTGTGGTGTGTTTGGTGTGTTTTGTGGGTTTGTGGTGTGTTTGGTGTTGTGTGGGTTTTGTGTTTGTGTGTGTGTGGTGGTTGTGGTTGTGGTTTTTTGTGTGTTGTGTGTGGTGGTGTGTGGGGTTTTGGTGTTTGTTTGGGTTTGGTGGTGTGGTGTGTGTGTTGTGTTTTTGGTGTGTGTTTTGGTGTGTTGTGGTTTTGTGTGGTGTTTGGGGTGGGTTGTGTGTGTTTGTTGGTGTGTGTGTGTTTGTTGTGTGTGTGTGTGGGTGGTTGTGTTTGGTTTGGGGTGTGGGGTTTTTTTTGTGGGTGTGGTTGTGTGGGTGTGGTGTGTGTGTGTGTGTGTGTGGTGTGGGTGTGTGGGTGTGTGGTGTGTGTGTGTGTGGTGTGTGTGGGTGTTGTGTGGTGTGTGTGTGGTGGTGTGGTGGGGATGTGTGGGTGGTGGTGGTGGTGGTGTGTGGTGGGTGGTGTGTGAGTGGCTGTGTGGTGTGGTTGTGTGGGTGGTGTGTGTGTGTGGTAGCTGTGTGTGGGTGTGGTGGCTGTGTGGTGTGTGGTGATGTGTGGTGGGTGTGGTGTGTGGGTGGTGTGGTGTGGTGTGTGTTGAGTGGTGTGGTGTGTGGTTGTGGTGTGTGTGTTTTTGTGTTTGTAGACTCACTGGTCCAGCATCTCCAGTAGCTGGTTGAACACATCCTGACTGAGGATGTCAGAGCTCTGTTCTGATTGGTTCTGCGACATCATGGAGGCCAGGAAGGAACTCTCTGTACAGGACAAACGGGAGGAGGCGTCTCTATACCTGCAGGAAGTGAGAGAGAGGAACACCATCACTAACTACTATAACTCAGAGGGGCTTGGCAGGGGGCACGGTCAGCCCGTTGGCACGGCTGAACTTTAGAGAACATTTTAGAGGCCCCCACGAATCAACCGCACATCGTGCAGATCACGGTTTCATAATTCTGATTCGGGGAAAAGCTACATTATATATACACACACAAAAGTATGTGGACACCCCACGTTGGCAGTAAAATGGCCTTACTGAAGAGCTCAGTGACTCAACGTGGCACCATCATAGGATGCCGCCTTTCCAACAAGTCAGTTCGTCAAATTTCTGCCCTGCTAGAGCTGCCCCGGTCAAGTGCTGTTATTGTGAAGTGGAAACGTCTAGGAGCAACAACGACTCAGCCGCGAAGTGGTAGGCCACACAAGCTCACAGAACAGGACCGCCAAGTGCTGAAGTGCGTAGCGTGTAAAAATGGTCTGTCCTCGGCGGCAACACTCACTACTGCCTCTGGAAGCAACGTCAGCACAAGAACTGTTCGTCAGGAGCTTCATGAAATGGGTTTCCATGGCCGAGCAGCCGCACACAAGCATAAGATCCCCATGCGCAATGCCAAGCGTTGGCTGGAGTGGTGTAAAGCTCACCACCATTGGACTCTGGAGCAGTGGAAACGCGTTCTAAGGCGTGATGAATCACCCTTCACCATCTTGCAGTCCGACAAACGAATCTGGGTTTGGCGGATGCCAGGAGAACGCTACCTGCCCCAATGCATAGTGCCAACTGTAAAGTTTGGTGGAGGAGGCATAATGGTCTGGGGTGTTTTTCATGGTTCGGGCTCCTTAGTTCCAGTGAAGGGAAATCTTAACGCTACAGCATACAATGACATTCTAGATGATTCTGTGCTTCCAACTTTGTGGCAACAGTTTGGGGAAGGCCCTTTCCTGTTTCAGCATGACAATGCCCCTGTGCACAAATCGAGGTCCATACAGAAATGGTTTGTCGAGATCGGCGTGGAAGAACTTGACTGGCCTGCACAGAGCCCTGACCTCAACCCCATCGAACACCTTTGGGATGAATTGGAACGCCGACTGCGAGCCAGCCTAATCACCCAACATCAGTGCCCGACCTCACTAATGCTCTTGTGGCTGAATGGAAGCAAGTCCCCGCAGCAATGTTCCAACATCTAGTGTAAAGCCTTCCCAGAAGAGTGGAGGCTGTTATAGCAGCAAAGGGGGGGACCAACTTCATATTAATGCCCATGATTTTTGGAATGAGATGTTCTATGAGCAGGTGTCCACATACTGTTGGTCTTGTAGTGTATCTAGAGCTGCTCCTATGGCTGATTGTCCCGGGCTTCTGGCTGTCTAGATCCCTGCTGATTGTCCCGGGCTTCTGGCTGTCTAGATCCCTGCTGATTGTCCCGGGCTTCTGGCTGTCTAGATTCCTGCTGTTTGTTGTCCCGGGCTTCTGGCTGTCTAGATCCCTGCTGTTTGTTGTCCCGTGCTTCTGGCTGTCTAGATTCCTTGTTTGTTGTCCCGTGCTTCTGGCTGTCTAGATCCCTTCTGTTTGTTGTCCCGGGCTTCTGGCTGTCTAGATCCCTGCTGTTTGTTGTCCCGGGCTTCTGGCTGTCTAGATCTCCTGCTGTTTGTTGTCCCGGGCTTCTGGCTGTCTAGATTCCTGCTTGTTTTGTCCCGGGCTTCTGGATGTCTAGATCCCTGCTGTTTGTTGTCCGGGCTTTGGATGTCTAGATCCTGCTGTATTTCGTCCTGGGCTTTGGCTGTCTAGTCCTGCTGTTGTTGTCGCCGGCTTAGCTGTCTAGATCCCGCTGTTGTTGTCCCGTGCTTCTGGTGTCTAGATCCCTGCTGTTTTGGTACCGTGCTTCTGGCTGTCTAGATCCCTTCTGTTGTTGCCCGTGCTCTGGCTGTCCTAGACGGATACTGTTTGTTGTCCCGGGCTTGCTGGCTGTCTAGATCCCTGCTGTTTTTGTCCCGGCTTCTGGCTGTCTAATTCCTGCTGTTTAGTTGTCTGGGGTTGGCCTCTAGATCCCTGCTGTTTGTTGTCCGGGCTTCTGGTGTCTAGATCCCTGCTGTTTGTTGTCCCGGGCTTCTGGCTGTCTAGATTCCTGCTGTTTGTTGTCCCGGGCTTCTGGCTGTCTAGATCCCTGCTGTTTGTTGTCACGGGCTTCTGGCTGTCTAGATCCCTGCTGTTTGTTGTCACGGGTTGAATCCATTATAACAAATCAGATTATCTCGGGGGCCAATCAAGGCGGAACAACATTGTTGTGGATGGAATTGCTGAATCACCACAAGACATGGATGGAGTCTAAGGACAAAGTGAGGGAAATGATCACGGAGAAACTGAAGATCAACCACAGGAAGACTGAGGTGGAGCGCGCCCACAGGACTGGAAAAACCATCACCGGCCCAGATGACAGGTCCCGGTCGATATTGGTCAAGTTCCTGAGGTTCAAGGACAAGGTAGCTGATACGGAAAGAGCCAAGAACTTCAGAGGAACGCACATCTTCCTCAACAAGGACTATCCTGAAGCTGTGCGCCAGAAGAGGAAAGAACTTATCCCAGCCATGAAAGCTGTCAGAGCGCGTGGGGACATTGTTTACATCCGCTATGACAGGCTCATTGTCCACCATCCCTCCCAGAAGCCTGGAAGGGGTGAGAGAGCCACACTTACACACACCAACAGATTAATGGCCTGCTGAATGTATATTTCTTTCTCTTGCTTTGTTTGCTCTTTTCCATATTATGTCTATCTCTGATAAGCTACCCAGTAAAGGGCTGAAAATAGCCCATATGAATATATACTGCTCAAAAAAATAAAGGGAACACTTAAACAACACAATGTAACTAACTCCAAGTCAACCACACTTCTGTGAAATCAAACTGTCCACTTAGGAAGCAACACTGATTGACAATACATTTCACATGCTGTTGTGCAAATGGAATAGACAACAGGTGGAAATTATAGGCAATTAGCAAGACACCCCCAATAAAGGAGTGGTTCTGCAGGTGGTGACCACAGACCACTTCTCAGTTCCTATGCTTCCTGGCTGATGTTTTGGTCACTTTTGAATGCTGGCGGTGCTTTCACTCTAGTGGTAGCATGAGACGGAGTCTACAACCCACACAAGTGGCTCAGGTAGTGTAGCTCATCCAGGATGGCACATCAATGCGAGCTGTGGCAAGAAGGTTTGCTGTGTCTGTCAGCGTAGTGTCCAGAGCATGGAGGCGCTACCAGGAGACAGGCCAGTACATCAGGAGACGTGGAGGAGGCCGTAGGAGGGCAACAACCCAGCAGCAGGACTGCTACCTCGCCACTGGCGCCCTGTGCTCTTCACAGATGAAAGCAGGTTCACACTGAGCACGTGACAGACGTGACAGAGTCTGGAGACGCCGTGGAGAACATTCTGCTGCCTGCAACATCCTCCAGCATGACCGGTTTGGCGGTGGGTCAGTCATGGTGTGGGGTGGCATTTCTTTGGGGGGCCGCACAGCCCTCCATGTGCTCGCCAGAGGTAGCCTGACTGCCATTAGGTACCGAGATGGTACCCCTTGTGAGACCATATGCTGGTGCGGTTGGCCCTGGGTTCCTCCTAATGCAAGACAATGCTAGACCTCATGTGGCTGGAGTGTGTCAGCAGTTCCTGCAAGAGGAAGGCATTGATGCTATGGACTGGCCCGCCCGTTCCCCAGACCTGAATCCAATTGAGCACATCTGGGACATCATGTCTCGCTCCATCCACCAACGCCACGTTGCACCACAGACTGTCCAGGAGTTGGCGGATGCTTTAGTCCAGGTCTGGGAGGAGATCCCTCAGGAGACCATCCGCCACCTCATCAGGAGCATGCCCAGGCGTTGTAGGGAGGTCATACAGGCATGTGGAGGCCACACACACTACTGAGCCTCATTTTGACTTGTTTTAAGGACATTACATCAAAGTTGGATCAGCCTGTAGTGTGGTTTTCCACTTTAATTCTGAGGGTGACTCCAAATCCAGACCTCCATGGGTTGATAAATTTGATTTCCATTGATAATTTTTGTGTGATTTTTTTGTTGTCAGCACATTCAACTATGTAAATAAAAAAGTATTTAATAAGATTATTTCATTCATTCAGATCTAGGATGTGTTATTTTAGTGTTCCCTTTATTTTTTGGAGCAGTGCATGTAGCCTTAGAAATAAGGTTAATGAAATCAATACCTTGCTAACATCAGATAACATTAATATATTAGCCAATTCTGAGATTCACTTAGATAATTCCTCCCAACAGATGCATATCTGTCTTCCCAGTCATTTGAAATCCGTAGATTGGGGCCTAATGAATTTATTTCAATTGACTGATTTCCTTATATGAACTGTAACTCAGTAAAATCTTTGAAATTGTTGCATGTTGCGTTTATATTTTTGTTCAGCGTAATTTCCTGCAATTATACACATTTTGGCATGCAGCTGAGAGAAAATGTTGCAGTTTTAAAGCTAATTTCCTGCAATTCTACGCATTTTGCCATGACTAACGCTGTTCTTTTGCTCAAACATAATAAAAAATCTATACTTCTATGCTTATATTTAGGTGATTGTTAGTTCTCAAAGATTATATATATATTTTTTTTAAATGTATAGCTCCATTATCTTTTCTATATACTTTATATCTGGTTGTAGTTGTTTGAGTTAACACTGAAAGTTTCCTGTAACTAACTACCATAACTCTCTGTCCACAACAGGCGGGATGTCTCTATATCTGTAGGAGAGAAGAGGAACACAATCACTATCTAGTATCACTGATCTCCATCACTAACACACTGTCCAGGACAAATGGGAGAGAGAGAGAGAGAGAAACACAATCCTTAACTACTTTAACTAACTACCATCACTAACTACCAGAACTCTCTGTCCAGAACAGGTGGGAGGACGGGTCTCTCAACCTGCAGGAAGAGAGAGATACACCATCACTAACTAGTAACTACAACAACTAAGTACCGTAACTAACTAGCATAACAATAACTAAATACCATAACTACCAGGACAGATGGGACGACGGGTCTCTCAACCTGCAGGAAGAGAGAGGAACACCATAACAATTAGGACTGTGAATTGCCAGGGACCTCACGA